GACCAAGCCCAGTGCTGCCTTCAGGCCTGGGCAACTGAGGCCACCAACTCCAGACCCCGCACTCTGCTCCTCGTCCCTCGTCCAGCTGTAGTCTTTCCCGTGGGCTGAGTCTGCAGGACCAAGGAGACATCGTGTCTACAGAGCCCAGATCCCTCTTTTACCCCCCAAACACCCTACCGAAATGCATTCTGGAGCCTTCCCAGGCCTCCTCCGCAGGTCTGTGCTACAGAGAGGACACTGACCTGCTTGCCAAGCAGGCTAGGCCTGAGGCGCAGGGCCGGGGCCTACACACCGTCCTAAGGCCCTTCCCGGTGAGGGGTGGAGCCAGGAACTGTGGAAAGAGAAGGCTGGGTTGTGAGCCAGGAGCCTCCGTTGGCTTTCATCCTCTAAAACCCACAATACCAGGTAAGGGGAGCTTGGGTGAGCCAAGTCGCTTTCTCCTAGACTCAAGGGCCTAGTGCTAAAAAGAAAATGACCGGGCCTGGATTCCTAGGAAAACCGAACCTTTGGAGCAAAGGCGGGTCCGAGATGAGAGGCACAGAGAGAGTAAGCCCTCCTGAGGGGGTTCCTCCATGGGCAGATTTATCCAGAGCAAATGCCCCCTCCCACCCCTGAAGGTTATTATTCTTATGAATAGCTACTACTGGTTCAGTGCTTAATAGATTCCAGATCATTCAGTTACTGTCTCATTAATCCTCTGTGGTTCTAAGGTAAACCATACGATTCCCAATACATAGATGAGAAAATAAAGCTCAGAGAGGTTGTGTAAGGTTCCCCAGACCACACAGACCACACACACCACATCATTTGTGGTGGCACAAATGATGGAGCATTCTCCATCAAGCAATTCAGGCTGCGCTGCCCCAACGGGAAAATAAAGATAAGTTAGTAGCTATGAAAACAGAGCTCTTGATGGCAAAGCTGGGTTATCAAGTCTGCCACTGTCCCTGGCAATAGGCTCATGGAATCATTCAGTCAACATTGATTGCCCGTGTCTACATGTCAGAAATCCTGCAGGATTCTGAGACATAAAGATAAGTAAGTCACAGCCCCTGTCTTCAAGAGACATAGGGCAGTGGCTCTCGGACAGCGGAGAGCACCAGAATGTAGCAGGAGGGTTGGTTCAAGCACACTCTGCCGGGCCACCCCTGAGTCTCTGAATCAGTCGGTCTCCATACGGCCCAAGAATGTGCATTTCCAGTAAGGTCCCAGGAGATACTGATGCCGTTGGCCCAGGTAACCCACTCTGAGAGCCACTTGGATAGAAGTCGGGCTGGTCGAGATTCCCTCCACCAGGCAAAATGGAGCCCCATCATTCTCCCTTCCCTGGACAAGTGGGACAAGGACGAGCCTCTCCCGAAGGAAGAAACCCTTCCGGAGTGTCTCCAAATGCCGCAGTGTCATTTGGGGTGACCTTGCTACGGTCACCCTGTGAACGCAGGACCGGGGTTGGAAGGCACCCTCCCATGAGTCCCCCCCAAGAGTGTTTCAGGTCTTTTTTAGCAGCAGCTGGCTGGCTCCCTTCCCCAACGCCCCTCTAACTGCCTGTCCCTCCAGGCCCACTGCGGTGACTCCGTCCAGGTTTGAACCTGGTGAAATGCCCAGGGATCTTACTACTAACCAGACAGAAGGTGCCAGCATTCCCAGGAATGTCTTTGCAAATCATTTGCAATTGATTTAGGGGGTGCCTTAGAGAGGGCAGGTGCCTCCGTTTGCGTGGCCAGAGAATAGGTTGGCTGAAGCTGGGCTTTTCCACTCCTTCCTACAAAGTGACCAGAGGATGCTGAGCAAGGAAAGCAGCCCCTATGGTAGATAAATAAAAAGTAAATAGAAATGCACGATTGGCTGGGAGCCCTTGGGGATTAACTGACTAATTAATCCCCCAGCAGTTTGACCAGGAACTAATTAATCCCTTAAGCCCTTGGAGGGTCCAAGGCCCTGCCAAGTGCAGGGAGAAGCTTCACTCCTCTCTGGAGGCAGATGCCGAGTGTGGCTCTCCCAAGGACTCCCGGGAGGGCCTGGGTGAGGACTGATCCTGCTTCCCCACAAGGCATTGGTCTCCTCTACATCAGACATCTATCTGCCTCTGGACCAGGCACGGTGGCTCACACCTGTAATCCCAGCACTTTGGGAGGTCCAGGTGGGCGGATCGCTTGAACCCAGGAGTTAGAGATTAGCCTGGGCAGCATAGCGAAACCTCATCTCTCCAAAAAAAAAATTAAAAAATTAGCTGGGTGTGGGGGTGCACACCTGCAGTCTCAGGTACTCGGGAGGCTCAAGAGGAAGGATCGCCTGAGCCCAGGAGGTTGAGGCTGCCATGCGCTGTGATTGTTGTGATCATGCCACTGCACTTCCAGCCTGGGCAACAGAGTGAGATCCCGATGAGAGAGAGAGAGAGAAGAAATCTATCTGCCTTTCAAGTGACTTCTGTGCCCAGGAAATCAAATCAAAGAGAAATCTCTAGGAAAGACAGTCAGGCTCCAGCCTCCCTAAGGATCTGAGCGACGGGGTGTGAGAACTGGGTCATCTCCGTTCTCCCTCAGTCATCACCCCACTCTCAGGTGGAGAATGAGGTGTACACGTCTCCCTGGCATGCCGTTTGGACCCAGAGACAGCTGCTGCTTTCTGATCGTGTCTGCTCAGCACCCACTCTACCTGGGAAGGCAGCAGGTGCAAAAACCTTTCTTAATCCAATCAGCGCAGTCTGATCGGGACGAAGATGATCATTTATCTTTATGTGATTTTTCATGAGCTTTGTCAACAAATTCAAGGCTGGCCGCACGTATTCAGGTGGCCCCAAAGTAGATCTTTTCTGTCGCTAGCTTTTCTGACCCTTGTTAATCTTTTCGTATTCCTGAAACTTGGTTCACCTCATGTTACCATCCGACCTCTGAAAATTATCTGATAGCAGCCAGCTGGGAACGTAAGCGACCATGAACTTTTCCCAGGGAATGTTTTTCTTTAGAATCTTCTCTCTTATTGCAAAATAAGGCACTCCTGGTTGGGCGTGGTGGCTCATGCCTGTCGTCCCACAGTTGGGGAGGCCGAGATGAGAGGATTGCCTGAGCTCAGGGATTCGAGACCAGCCTGAGCAACTTAGGTAAGACCACATCTCTACAGTAAATCAAAAAAGTTGCTGGGTGTGGTGGTGCATACCTGTAGTTCCAGCTGCTTGGAAGTCTGAGGCGGAAGGATTGCCTGAGCCCAGCAGGTCAAGGCTGCGGTGGCCACAAGTGTGCCCCCGCGCTCCAGCCTGGATGACAGAGCGAGACTCTGACTCAAAAATAAATAAATAAATAAATAAAGGACTCTACAGCCTAAGAGGTAAAAGAATCTCAAAACTCAGGCAGCGAGCACAGAGAAATTCTGGGACAGTACCTAGAATCACAGAATGGAATGTGCAAGGGACCCGTGTTGGTAGCCTGATCAACACAGGAACCAGACCGTCAGTATGCTGAATAGGGTCCATTGCTGATTCACTTAACACACCTGTGTTGTGTGCCAGGCTCCATTCCAGATGCTAATTGAGGGAAGGTTGAATGTGACATGATTCTGTGCGCATGAGAGGCTCTCTGTCTAGTGGAAGAGAGGAAAGGAACAAGACGGGTGAATTCACGCTGTAGTCGCTATAGACCCGAACCCACCCTCGAGAGTAGGGTCAGCCAGGACTCCGGGTCTTGGCACGGGGCTGATGGACTCTGCAAAGCTTGCAGAACTGCCCTGAGTGAGTTGGGGTGTGATGCTCCAGCACTCACCTGCGTCAGCATCACAGAGAGCGCTGGATACAACTCTGGATACACCTCTAGAGTTTCTGCTTCGGTATGTCTGGGGTTGGGTCCAAGAAGGTACATTCCTGTGCTTCTTTTGAGTCAGGTTCTCAGTCTGTTGCCCAGGCTGGAGTGCAGGGGCATGATCAGGGCTCACCACAGCCTCGACCTTCTGAGCTCAGGTGATCCTCCTGCCTCAGCCTCCCAAGTAGCTGGAACCACAGGCATGCGCCGCCACCATGCCCGCCTAATTTTTGCTTTTTTTTTTTCTTGTAGAAACAAGATCTTGCTATGTCACCTTGGCTGGTCTCAAACTCCTGGGCTCAAGTAATCTTCCCACCTCGACCTCCCAAAGTGCTGGGATTACAGGCGTGAGCCACCACGCCTGGCTGAGAATTTACATTTCTTTTTTTTTT